TTAAATTCAGATGAATGCCACACTGCAGAAAGTTGGCCAATGTGCTCCAAAGGTAGAGGCTATCAGAGTATAAAACGGGAAAAGTTTAAGAAGTTCTGAGAACAGTTAATGTATGTAGAAGAGAGAAGCTGAGGTTAAGAAGTTTCTTTTCTTCCCCAGCTTTTAAGGGAGCCTGCAGTTTAACCTGGTGTTTGCAGTGCTCTGATTACTTAGCAGCATTCCATTTTGCAAAATCATTGCCAAGAAAATGCCCAAATCTTGAGTTGCAAACTGTTCTTGCATCTGGTTGGAAGGGGCCTCCGAGCTGTGTGTAAGGTTTTGCAGATCCAAGGCTGTACAAACGAAGGTGGAGACTCAGGGAGGGTACGAGTCAGGAAAGGGAAGCTTCCTAGACATTACAGCTCTGTCCAGAAGCCAAATGGGAGATAAATCACCTCTGGCCACCTCTCTTATTATTGAAATGGTTCAGCCCTGGGGTTTAACTGAAGGCCTAAAAGGGTTTTGAAGTGCAAATAGGATGGTGAAGGGTAAACCCTTTTAGGGTTTCATTTTGATGGATTTTTTTCCTGTGTGGATTTCTGGCACTGACTGTGATCTGGAAGGGGCCCTTAAAAAGGAAAGTTTTGTTTTGTTTTTGATCAGTCAGGCACTAAGAACTTTCTACAGGGGTGTACTTTTTTCTGCATGGATATTGATTCTATTGTGTTTAAAAGTAGATCATTTAATTGCATCTTTTCTTGAGCCTTCTGCAGTGGAGCTGTCATTTCAAGGTCATGTCTTTGTATTAATGCCGCAGTTTGAGAGGGCTGAAGGAGGTGCTACTTTTGGATCAGTGGTTTTGGGGAGATTACTTTGGGCCAGTGTGTGTTAAGCAAAGTCTTCTAGTTAAAGATCAAGTCCGTATTAGAACAAGTCTTTTACAAAATGATAAGCATTCTATAATTATTTAATCCTTTTCCATTGAGTTATACAATGTACATATTCATTTAATTATCTTGTATCCATTCTGCTTTGCCATCCTTAAAGAAAAAAACCCAGATGGGGCCGGTGATTTAGCTCAGTGGTTTCACCGCCTGCTGCGCAAGCGCAAGGACCCGAGTTTGATCCCTAGTACCCCCCCCAAAAAAAAAGAAAAAGGAGAAAACCCCAGAAAATCCTGAAATTGTGAAATATTGTACTATCTTATTTGTAGAGATACACTCTGAAGTGTTTGAGGAAATAAGGGAGACATAAAAAAATGTTTAAATGTAGGCTATGTTGATTTATCAAGTTGAAAATTTTTTTACCCTCCAAATAATTCAAACCCAGACAAAATATTTTTTTAATTTATATATTTTTTGAAAATGGAATCAAGAGGAGTCATTAGTTATTCCAAGGAAAAATTATTGTAACATAAATTGAAGGTTCTGTGTACAAATTTCAAAGAAAAATTAAAATATTTTTACTAAACAAATACTATTGTAAACACTCAGATTTCTTCTTAGAAATGTTGGTGGATTTTTCTTGAACATTTTGGCTCTAGAGGTAACACACGTTTGCATCATTTGCCACTTTTAAGAGCAATAATATATTTTGCTATAACAGAGGTATTCCTCTGTGTTGCTTGATGTCCATTATAAAAATGGGCTTAGTCTCCATAATTAACATTGATCACACAATGTTCTTAATTGACCTCCAGGTTAGTGTTTTGCTTTTATGTTTTCCAGAATTTTCCCTTCATGTGATCTAAATGTTAGAAGTCTATTTATTTCCTATGGCTTTATGATGATTTTTAAATGAGATGCTTCACACAACAACAAAAGCCCAAACCCTAGATGGGATCAGACAGAGTCCCCTGTCATTAGTTTGCTGCTGGGAGATACTCATGTGACCTTTCCTTTGTTAGGGGAGATCTGCAGTCCTTCCCAGAATCCTCTTGTTAACTGTCTTTTTAGCCCAAGTTGGAGGCTGGCTGATGAATGAATGTTGAGCTCTTTTTTTTTTTTTTTAATGAGCTACACATATTGTTGATATTGTGTCACATGCTGCTTTTTAATTTCTAATGCATTTTCAATTTGCAAAGCATGCATGTACCTTTCACAGCAGTAGAACTGAGTCAGCATTTCTGAGGCCAGATACTGCTTTATGCAAACAAGGCTCAGGCTTAAGAATGCTGAATCGAAACCTTGGCTTTCCTGAAACATACATGTGAATGAATTTCACTTTGAATATTGTTGAATAAAAGAAGATACTTGAGAAAGTCTTCTTTTCCCAAGAACTTCTTTTGCCTCTTGGCAAGTTAATTGCCCCATATAAAAGCATTGGGGAGAAAAGTGTGTTACAGAGTGAAAAGGCAATCCACAAATAATCACTCTTTTCTGTCTTTGATTGTGTCAGATTTTGTGTGTGTGTGGCGATTGTTTTCTTTTTCACTAGAAGAGGTTTATGGTCCAGTGTCTGTCAAGTCAGCCCCTGTCTTAAGGTTGCAGTTGTATTTCTCTGCAGTTCCTGGAGGTGATGTTATCTTTTGTTCACTCAGCAGTGTGGTCGTCCCTGAGAGCATCTGTCACTTTAGGCATCGCAAGATGGATGGGTCTCCAGTGAACTGCTGGTTGAAGCAAATGGTGAAAATAAGAAAAGACAAGGGGCTTGAGGGTCTGCAGAGGGGACAGGCAACAAGGAAACACTGTTAGAAATCAAGAGTAAGCTGAGCAATAGAGGAAGAGAGAGCAAAGATGGATCAGATGTCATTTTACCAACATCTTGGGAATCAGAACCTCGTGGTGGCTCTCGTGGTCTGAGGGAGACATCCGGATCATGGTAAATGATTCTGTGCTCTGGGTCTGCAGAACATGTTGGGACATTTTTACAAAGTCTGGGGAGAGTACTGAGAAGAATAATGATAGAGAATGTTTTCTAGGAGGATTTTGCTGTTTGGAGAATTGGTACAGTAGTCTTTAAATGTTGTAAAGATTAAACTCAAAATTGAGCCTTCAGTTTTCTATTTTATTTTCTCTTTTTTCTTTTTCTTCCCTCTCTTTGTGTAAGCCACAGAGCAATTGTAGATGTTAAGATGTTTGAAAAATTTTGGCCACATAACTAAACTTACTGTTTTCTGAGTGCTTTTTGCCATTTTTGCAGGAGAATGCTGAAATTCTATGTGCATGGTTAAAAGGAGGCTGGGCCAGATTTTAAGTTCTTTTAAGTAACCTCCAGCTTCATGTCCTGGGGCTCTTTGATCAGAGAAAGAAATGTAATTGTTATTGATCTTTCAGAACAAGTTAAGATTGTATTATATTCATTTTCTTAGTGAAGGTCAAAATTTGTAAACCTAGCTGATGCAAAGTCTCTCCTGTGTAAGACAAGGAACAGGAAGGGAGGTTGGCTGCAGAGTAGGAAAAGGGAAAGGAAGGCAATCTAATTGAGGAAAAAAATAATTTTGTCAAACTTTTTGGCATTTGACTATGTAAAAGACTGTAGGTTGAAAGGTAAAGAAATTAAGAAGATTAGAAGCTTTAAGCTATACAAATGGTAGAGTATCTTACTTCTCTATGGGTGTAAATAATAGATGAAAGAGTAAGAGTGACAACAAAGGATCAGGTCGTTTAAGAGAATGTGTGCACCCTGAATAGGGGTCTGTGGCCTAGGGCCAAAGGTCTTAGCTTTGAGTGTAATTAGAAGAAAATACAAAAATGTCATTACTAGCAGGTGAAGTGTTCAGCACGTGGCCAAAAATTAGCAATTTTAGACTCCAAAGAATTGGAATTGGATTACTGGCTTTTTAAAAAAATCATTATGGTCCTTGTGAAGTCATATAGTTTTCATTGTCAGTAATGCAGTTTGACCTTGCTGATCATATGGGGTAATCTTGGGTTTGGATGGTAAGTAGCAAGGCTCCTGACTCAGAAAAGATGTCTGTTTGTGTGTGGGTGGGTGGGAAATATGTGAGTTTGAAAATCTAGGTCCTGCATTTCAAATCACTCTTTTGCCTGAAGACATTCTTCAACAGTAAGAGAGGTAAGATAAAGATAAATATTTTTGTTCCAAAATCTAAAATGGTTCTTTTCTCTCAAGTTGGCATAAAAATAAAATAAAATAAAAATTAATTTTTAGAAAATATAAATTAATATTGCTTTAAGTTTTTTACTGCTAAAAATATTCACACTGAAATTATTACATTTTTAGAAACACCTTCTTTTGTTTTCTTTTTTAGACACAGTTACAAAAGACTAGAACTAAATTATGTATAAAAATCAGTGACAAATAGGTTTTATTTCACTTTATTCTTTATATTTCTGACTTTTTCCATGCAATGGTCTGTATTAACCATAATGTACTTAAGTGGAGAAAATCATAGGCACACTATAATTTTCAACCAACTACATGTAATTATAATTAATTCGCTATTTTCTAGGAATATACTCTTCAAGCGATAGGAAACAGTAGCTCTTTTTCTTATTGGAGGCTTTTCCTTGGAAATAAAGCATTAATTTCAAAAAGTATAAAAATAATTTCAGTCTTGGCTAAATGGCAGATTTTTGATGGTTCTTTGAGTAGATTAATTATGGTCAGATATCAGGGATTATAAACCTCTCAAGGTCCATAGAATAAGAAAATTACCTTAACACTAATTTCATTACTAAAAACAAAAATATTCTGTGGGCTGTTACCAGTATGGTAACACCTGCCAAAAAATATAGACTAGATATACTAATTCGACGATTGCATTTGATTGCATTCAACAATTTGCAAATGTAAATTTAGTGAGGGAAACCTTGAAAACAACAGAAATTATTTTTCAGCATATATAACTAGTGATTATTTGGGGAATATTTAGGAAGGAAGAATATTTGCGCATTTGCCAGTTATGGTGTATATGGAGTTGTACAAAGCTTTGATCAGTAATTTCTAATTCTGATTTTTGTAGAATTTTGGATGTTTATTGTAATATAGCATATAATGCATTTGAAAAGTAGCTCATGTTTTTATGTATATATTTTTATTTTTTTATGTTTTTACAGGTGCAAAAAAGCCTTAACCAAGTTATAATCTAGGCAGCAGGCTCCCTGAAGTGTTGACTGCCCAATTTAATCATGAACATGATTCAAAAATGTTAATAAATAAACCAAGGTATTGTATAATTATATATGTTCTCCCCCCCAACCCCATTTTTTCTTCAAGATCAAATTTGTTTCGGGAAGTTATTTTTAGAATCTGAATAAAGCTACTATGTTTGGTCCTTAAACTGATTAAGCAGATATTTCTAGGAACTGTTTTTCTCCCTGCTTGCCTGTCCTCTCCCCATGTTCTCCACTTCCCAACGAAATTTACTCAGCAGTAGAGTTTTTTCCCCTTACAACAAGCTCTGTATTTCCTGTATACCTAAATAAAGGAAATAAGAATGCAGAGCTTTCTTAATTCCCCTTTGTCCATTGTGATTTTATCTTTCAAAATGTCTAACAGAGAGGTCTAGATTATTGGCTTCTGCAAAAAATCCAAACATCTGTATTTAAAATGGGTCTCATTACACTATCCTGAGAGGTATGTTATAATGAATTTATAAAAGTTTTTTCTACTATTTTAGAAGGCTTTTAATTTAGAAATGGAAAAAAATCATACTGCTTTTTCTCCTGTGTCAAAGAAAAACAAAGCCTTGCTTGGAATTGAGAGTTTAGGGTTAGTGTTTTAGATAACCCTTGTCTATCAGAAGGGACATAACCCACAACTGTTGCTTTCCTTTTGGAGGTTACAATGTGCTTAAATAGCCTGGCATTTCCAAGGGAGGCCAAAGATCTTTTCCTCTTTTATGACCTGTTGTATCCCTTTTGAGGCCCAAAAGAACAAGAGGGTCATTGCCACTTCAGCTTGGTCCCTGTTTGTTCCTTCATGGTGACCACGCAGATACTGAATCTCAGTATTGGCTTAACATTTGGGCCTGGAACATCTGGAAAATAGTCAAGAGGAGGAGAGGAGGAGGCAGAAGAAAGAGAGAGAACTGTTGCATTTTGTTTCACCAGGTGCTAGGAGGAAGCAACATTAGCCTTTTTGATATGGGAGGCAAATTCTGTGGGCCCTGGAGTTAGGCTCCAACAATTGAAGAGGTCAAAGGACAGCTGAGTGAGGTCAGTGAGACACCATGGGGTGTATTTTGTTACTTAGTAAAAGGAGCAGCCTCTAAAACCTTAAAGGATTCTCTTGAAAATCTGTGTTGTGAAAAGGTTTTATGAGTCTCATGGCAAAAACTCCTGATTTATCTAAGGAATGCTCGCTTTTGTCTAATGGAAGGATAATCCTTACCAAATGTTGGCAAGGACTTGAAGAGTCAATATAGGCCTGAAAGAACAGTTAGGGTTTGAAGTGTACTTTGCTTTCCAAAATGTTTATCATTTTAATGTTTCTGTCGTGGGGAAGAATTTTGCACTGTTGAAAGATCTTGTTTTCTTTCCTTGGAGCAGAGAATGAGATGGGGGTGGGGAAGGAGAGGGAAGGAGTGAGTCTATATTAGTTTAAAAATTATTCCTCACGCTTTTGACCTTATGCACGGGAGATTATTATATCTTGTTAACTCTAAAAAGCTATGTTTTCAATTTATTTTAACTTAGGGAATCAATAGTTTATGAAATGTAAGTTTTCTGAAAGGTTTTGTGTGTGTGTATGTGTGTGTGTGTGTGTGTGTGCGCGCGCGCGCGCGCGAGGACTGGACACAGAGCCGCACACATGCTAGGTGAAAGCTGTGTCACTGAGCTACACCCCAGTCCTGGCTCCCAGATCTTCAAATTTAGTTGTTAATAGTTAATAGAAGGCAGTAGTAGTTGATGGCTAATCTCAGGTCTTGTGTTTCCCCTGAATGTGTTCCTCATACATTTTGTAGCAGTAAGAAGAAAATCAATGTCAGAGTCAAGATGTGAGAATAAGAAAAGCAATATAGGGCTAAAGAGTGTAGCTCAGCAGTAGAGTGCTTGCCTAGTGCAGGGATGGAAAGAGATGGAGACAGGAAAACTATCTGCATGGCATGGAAGCTCTGCTTGCCACAGCCCACAATCCCAAGAGACCGCATCCAGGACCGTGGGTACTTCTGAAGGGTGTTCGTCTCCTGAGAGTGGAAAGGGTCTGCTACAGGAATTTAGTGGTGTTTCCATATTCTAATTTATACATTGTATACATGTGCATATTATACAGAAAGCACATATGACAATATGTAAAGTAAGAAAAAAGTAAAATGGTGAGGGACATATAATAGGCTTTGTTAAACTTTTTCATACCAATTTATAAATTAATATTAGTTACAAATTTATTCATTTATCTGTGTGATTTTTTTTTCAATCTTTTAAAAATAATTACTCCTGTCAGAAGAATATATACATAAAGGAGAGGCTGAACAGTGTGCTATTTTCTCAAGGTTAAAGCCCCTTTCAACAACTAATTTAGAAACCTAAGTGTGGTGACTGATAATTGCCAAGAGAAAACCCACAGCTGTTTAAGTACCATTGAAATTGTGGCAAAACTGACAAATACAATTAGCAATGTTAATAAGATGAGAAGAGGACAGGACAGGCAGATGACAGAGTGGAAAGATGAAGGGGCCAGCGTGAGAAATCCCCGTTAGCAGAAGCCACACATTGCTCCCACTTCCCAGCACTTTTCCTCTCCAGCTGCATCTCCCTCTCGGTGCTCTCTGAATTACACTGGAGTAGTGTTTCAAGGGCTAAGTAATTCAGACACAGTTGTAAAGCACCAAACTCACGTCTGATTTGAAAGAAGACAGCCGTTTGGTGATAATATTTAAGAAAAGTGATCAAACTTTGCTGATTATAAAGCACAATCTAACTTGCAATGCTTTTTAAAGGTCAGCTTTAAATGTGCTTCTATGTTACTGTTATTATTATGATGGGTGGGAATTTCTTTACTCCTCTTTGGACCTTTATAATTCTTAGTCATCAAGTGCGCTACAAAGGGGACCTTGTTTCCAGATTTGGTGGCCCACCATTACCAAAAACAAAAGAAAACTGTAGAAGTCTTTAATGTGTTTATTTGCTTAATGTTCATAGCCCATTTTCCCAACAGTTTTAGGAAAATTAAACAGGGAGATTTTTAAATAATGAAATTAGGTGAGTGTCATGTGCAAAATATCCAGTCATTGGTGCCTTTCCCATCCTAGGGCTTAAGGTATCCATGGAAATTGGAAACACAGTGGTGCAGTATCTTTTGAAGTTCTGCTCTGCATTTGGGAAATTAGTTTTTGCCTCTGGTGTTTTATGCAGATTGTCATGACTGTTGTGATCCCCAGACGTTTGTTTTCTAAAACCATAGAGACCGAGCTCTCTGTGGCAGTCTTGATGGATGTGGTAAACCACACTTGGGAAGCATTTCTCCTTATTTAATGTTTTCTGTTCTGGATTATTGACTCTTCTCCTGTTGAAAAATTGGTCTCTGGTGACACAGTAGAGGTCACACATTGCCTATTATTGTTTTGCTTCTTTGATCTTACACAGGGATTGCCTCTGGTAATTATACCAGTTCCAGAGACCCTTGACAAGATGTGTTTATTTTACAAAAGAATTTCTGGCATTTCAGGAAAGAAAGTAAAGATTTCTAGTAGTAACGAGTAATTTTTTTTTTTTACAAAGGAAAAATAACATTGTACTTCATCTTATAATTATGTTTTAATAATTATCATAAAATTAGTTGGCACATTACAGCAATTGTTTCTATGATCACTTAGGACATATTTCATATCTGTAAGTGTGTTGCTAAAATGGTAAATTTTAGAATTAAGTTACTAGGGTTGTGTTTTTATTTCAGTATCTAAAGTACTTTCAATTTTAGAAGTTGTCAAAATAGATTTATCTCAATTTTTAAATGTATAGAACTACTGAAAGAGGTTGAAAATTTTGTCTTTTAATGTTTGCATTTTCTAAAGATTTTCAGCAAGGAAAATATGAATTAAAATTAGCTAAAATACGTGTTTTGAATGCAATGTTAGATTTATACCTTTTTTTTTTTTTTTCGGTAGTAGAGATTGAACTCAGGACCTTGTGCTTGCAAAGCAGGCACAGTGCCACTGAGCTAAATCCCTGGCCCAGATTTATACTTTTTTGGAAAGGAGAGAACATCTCTTCTGACCTGTTTAATGTAATTAAAATATTTGCCCCCACACACACACATTATAATGAGGGAGTTAGACAAACAGTAGGCTCAATTTAAGTAAGTAAGAATGAACAGATATCAATTGGAAAGAATAAATGGGCTGGGCAGGGAGGGGTAGCTCAGGGTTAGAGCATCCGAGAGGCCCTGGGTTCAATCCCCAGCATCAAAAATTTAATAAATAATCAGTAGGGCCAGGGATTTAGCTCAGTGGTTCCGCTGCCTGTCTTGCAAGCACAAGGTCCCAAGTTTGAGCCCCGGTACCAAAAATAAATAAATGAATGAATAATAAGTAAATGAAATACTAAAAGAGAAAGCTGTGATTATGTGCTTGCTATTAATTTTGGATTATAAATGAGAATTGGCAAGAAGTATGTTTGATTTGTGTAAGAGTTACACATTATCACTCCTGTCAGTAATTGTTTGGGGGAGGTGTCTGGGATTGAACCCTGGGCCTTGTACATGCTCTACCACTGAGCTACACTCTAGGGCCTTGTCAGTGAATATTTTTAATGAAGAAAGAGTATATAACTAGTAGTGCAGTAACAGGGAATTTCCTTACACAAAGAATTTTATTGCTGTAACCAATAGTAAGAATCTAGTCTATAAGCTTATCTCACCGATGAACTGAGCTTGAGAGGTTAAGTGGTCAGAAGCTGAAGGTCATATCATGAAGGACACATCCAGACTTCCTATCTCCCCATCACTGTACATACAGTAGAGTTGCACTGTGCAATACAATAGCTACCTGCCACAGGTGGCTATTTAAATTAATTAGAATGAAATAAAGTTGAAGATTTAGTCTGCAGTCACAGTAACCACCTTTCAAGTACTCAGCAGCCCATGTAGCTATGGGCTATCACACCCTGGGTCATGCAGACACAGAACATTTCCATCTTCTCAAAAAATCCCACTGGAAACCACTGCTCTCGGTGGCAAAAGTCATCCCGTGATTTGTGTATATGATTGTAAAATTTCTTAATAAACAAATCACATATATTGTCAAATAGCAGCTTTGGAAATTTTACATGAATGGTCATTTATTGCCAGAAAAATCTCCCCAAATCTGTCGTCATGCCCAATATGTTCAAAGGAAAGGTGTATCAATGTCGCACAATGTTAAAACAGGAAAACAAAAACCCAACTACTATTACTACAAGCGTTTTCTGTATACTTATTCTGTGCTAAACACAGTTCTAAAAATTTTAAAGATATAGTCTCATATTCTCACAAAAACCTTTGAGATTGGTAGTCTTATCGTCCTTTTACCGATGATAGATTAAGTAACTTGCCCAGTACCATACAGGGACCAGGGGATGGGATTTGAATTAATTGAAGGTCACCTAGCTCGAGAGCTGCTATGCTTACCCACTAGGTGCATGAGTGAGTGTTAGTGTAGGAAGTGAATGTCAACATCTGTAAAGACAAAAGTAACAAAACTAGGAAATTGTATCAAGTTGTCTTTTTTGTATTATTCCCAGCACAGTCAATAAATTGTGCCTTAAAATATATTAATCTCAAAACAAAAAAACTACAAGAATGTACCACCTGTACTCATCCTCATCCCCCCCCCCCACACTATTGAATAGCATGTTTTAGCAGGAAAAAGTCTTTTGAGTTTAAATGTGAATCTTAGTCCTACCCTTTAGGAACATAGTGACCATGGGTTGTTGGAGAAACCAGATCAGTTGCCCTGTAAATCTGTTCCTTATTCTGAATCCGCTTGTTTTCTTGTGGTTTCACTTAATTTGTTCCTTAATCCTATAACTGGAACTTGTGCTAGAGGCTTGACTGGACTTTGTACCTTTCGGCAGGAATACATCCTAGCTGGATGTGTGCTCTTCATACTGCCTGGAGAGAGAGGCCGCAGTGTCTCACAGCCTCACTTGTAGTAGCGCTAAACTTGATCAGTGGGTTCAAGAGCTAACAGTCTGATCTTTCCATTATTAAGTTCCCCATCAAGCTTTTATCTTATAGTTTTACTTATTGCATGCATGACTTTTCCATTAGGGTTCTTTTTTTTTTTTTTTTTTGGTACTGGGGATTGAGCTCTGGTCCTTGCCGCCTGCACAGCAGGCGGCGAAACCACTGAGCTAAATCCCTAGCCCACATTAGGTGGCTCATTTTTGTTTTATTCTAAGAGGAACTCATTCTTTTTCTCCTTACATTGCAAAAGTAATTTATGAGTTTTTAAATTTTGAATGTCCTTCAATCAATTGCATGTATCCTTTTTTTTCTCTCTCTCTCTCCTCTAATTTTTGGCCCTTGGGAGCCCTTCCTGTGGACACCTATGTCTTTTGCCATGATCTCTTAGTTCAGTGTTGGTGAACCTTTTAGAGCTTTCAATGATAACAGACATGGCCGTGCCAGCTGTAGGTTCACAGCTTTGCCACCACCGCTAGTTCATTCCTTCTTCTTTCCATTTCCAAGACAAAAGGAGAGTTGAAAGGCCATGGCAGCATTCGTGGGCACATATTTCCAAAGCTAGTCTTTTCTTCACTTTTCCAATTCCGTTCCTGTGGCCACTGGAGATCAAAGCTTCCTGTTCGCTCCCATCCCCTTTCTTCAATCTTTCCTCTGGTGGAAAAAAGGAAAAAGCAAGAGCAGAAAGGCCCCCAACTACAGTGTCATAGTGGTTTGTGGTTGATCCCATCTGTACGGTGAGCAGTTAATTAGTGGTACAGAAAGAGCCCATTTTGTTTACCATCCCTTTTGTAAACATTTCCTCCGTATCACAAGCGAGTCTTGCTAACATCTCACGGGTCCCTAATGCCATAACAAAACATTCAGTATATTCTGCCCTCTTGTAGTTTTACATTAAACAAAGAAAATATGGAAAACAATGCAACTCAGTCTCATAAACTTGATGTCAATGAGATAATGTCAGTGTATAATGGAATCCCGAGACTGTTTTCTTTTTGCGTTTGATTTAAAGACTGATTCTAAAAAGTGTTTATCTTCTATCTGAATTCGTTTATTCACACAGAGTCAGGATTTACATGATCTTAGGCACTGGGGTTTTTTGAGATTCAAGGTAATCTAGATAGATAATGCCAACAATTTCAGTGACCCTAAATCTAGTGGCATATGATACTTAGAGTATATGTATTAAACTAAAAAGCTTCCTTTGAGCTCCCTCCTCCTTTGGGCTTTGGACTGTCAAAGGCAGAATTCCATAGTCAGCACTAAGGAAATCTGGGGTCAGTTTTATAATCTTTTACATTATCAGTTTTTTGGTTTTTGTGGGTTTTTTGGTACCAGGAATTAAACTCAGGGCCTCATGCTTGCCAGGCAGGCGCTGCACCACTGAGCTACATCCCAACCCTTTACATTATCAGTTTTTAAATGCCCAATTATGTTTCATTTGGAATAAAGATAGCTACTTCCTTTTACTCTACCAAGTCTGAAGGGGGAATGGATACTTCCGTTGTCTTCATCTGGGTATCACTAGTGCACCTGTAGGATTAGGTATATCTTCTATGATTTCATTTTTGTGAAATCTTCTCTGGTTCATTTTTATGTTGATTCCACACTTTTATTCAGAGCAATATTTATTTGCCCCGTGCCTGTGTAACTGTCATATTACTCCTACCTGTAAGGATAAGGGATTGAGACGATGTGATTCTTCATGTATAATTGGGCACTTCTTTATTAAACTGAAAAGTTCTCTTGGAGAATGCAGGTTTTCAAGTTTTTTAGTGATAAAAGGAAGATAGATTAAGAAGAGGCAGGATTTCCAGGCACTCAGGTGCTCTGGACAAAGGCTAAAGATCTACCTTTGAAGTTATTCTATTGTTCACAGATAAGAGAGCCCTTGGTGGGCTTGGTATTAGTTCCTGAAAGTTTTCTCCTCTTAGCAAACAAGAAAGGTGAAATGGTTGTTGGATTTTGACTTAGAGCATAAACTAGTGGCACAGCATATTTCTCTTCCAACACCTACTCTGTTTTGATTGTGTGTGGTGCTGTTGAAAAATAAATTGCTTTTGAACTTTAGAAAATTGAAATGTTTATAGCTGGATTAGTGGAAAGTCTCAAGGGCTTAGTCAAAAACTCGGTTTTTCAGGAAATTTTCATTTAATAGACTAGATTTTCTCCCACTTACAAATTTTAATTAGGTAACATATATATCCATATATCCATATATATCCAACTTCTGATCAGATATTGTATATTTCAGGTATATACTTTTTTTTTTTTTTTTTGGTACTGGGGATCGAACTCCGGTCTTTGTGCTTGCGTAGCAGGTGGCGAAACCACTGAGCTAAATCCCCGGCCCAGGTATATACTTTTTATAAGAAAAGAAAGTTTTATATTGATAGCATCTACACCATTTAGTGTTTTATTACCTAGTATGAGACAGGTTGCCACAAAAGGATCCTGGCTTTTCCTCCAAACCGTAGGACTCTCACTAAAGCTTTGACAAACCCAGCCTCTTTGCTAAAAGTCACTATAAACTACTCATGGTCACCAGGAATCTGTATGAAGCCTTCTTTGCTAGCTCAGTCAACTCAGGGGCACCAGAGTCTGTGGAGGGGTGGGAGGCCTGAGAGGGGCTGTGCACGTGCCATGGGCACCCTTCTCCGCTCTGCGTTGGCTGATCCTGGGCCCCCTTGCAGATAAGCTCCAAGTCAGCCCTAGGATCCTTCTTAGCATCCTGGGGGACCCTCCAGGGCACAGGCACTCTGAGCTGGCTCCAGATGAAACCGAATAGCTGTGCTCAGATACGCTCAGAATTATTTGTATTTGAATAAAATTTACTAAGTTGAGTCTACACAGTGAGAACACAGGATTTGTCATTTCTTGGAGAAATATTGAATTCTTTGTACACTCAAAAATGATTGCAGACCAGTTGGGCATGATGGTGCATCCCTGTAATCCCAGCACCCTTGGAGGCTGAGGCAGGAGGGTCACAGTTTGAGCTCAGTCTGGGCAACTTAGCAAGACCCTATCTCAAAAAAAAAGAACTTTAAAAGAGGGTGCGGCTGGGGCTGTAGCTCTGTACAAAGGCCTTGGGTTCAATCATTAAGTGCCACAAAAAATATGTACATATATTCTGAGGACCAAACTCATGAAGCTTGAGTTTATGTGTGTTATGTATATTAGAAATTAAAGGATTTTTATAAATATTCATTAATTTTTAAAAATAATGATTAAAAACCCATTTAATGCTAACATAAATAGCATATTTTATGAAAAATGACTTTTTCCAAAGAAAAGTTAGTGCTAAGCGTAAGCTCTCTGCTTCTGCATTCAATCTGTCGCAGTGCCACACATCATGCAGATTCTGGAAAATTCTTTCCATAGCCATGTGAGAAAGAGAAGAAAAAAAGGCAAATAATATCATAGTAATGGTTTGAAAGCAGTTTTGATTCCATACCCACCAGGCCATTTGGGAATCATTGGTCTAGCCAATCGTTAATACCCAATAAATTATTATCATTGTTATTGTTTTACATGGAAATCTTTGTAAGTAGCAAGTACTACACAAATATTAGTGATGGCATAGGTCAAAGCTTCAGAAACTTCTTACTGTGTACTTTCCTGAAGGGTCCCAAATAAAAATACACGTCAGATGAGGCAAAAGAAACAACGGTGTCTTCCAAATAAATGGTAGTATTGCGTAAAAGAGTTCTTTGAGTTAAAAGCCTCAAATCTTGCTTTCAGAAATATGTAACATTTTGTAAATATATTATAAAACTTTCATTTGTTTTTTCCAGAGGACAGTATCCCTCACAGTAATAGAGTGGTAATTAGATATTTACTCTGAAACTGCAGACAGATTGGTGTGGGCTCTGGTGGGCCCTACTGTAAAGAGGAGGTGTCGTCCTATTGTTGATCAGCTTAGGTTCAGGGCTGACAGGTCAATCTTGATATATCTAATGAAGAGCCTTAACCTAAAACATTTATTACTGTTGAATGCTTAGAAACAAGATCGTGTAAAGGGGGGTTGTGAAGTGGATTTGGACTGTAAAGACCAAAAGCATAAGCAATATAATAACAGATAACTTGCACTAGTTGTCTTAACAAAAATATACTCCATATAGTTCACATCTTAGTAAGATATGGATATAGTTTATATTAGTCTACATGTACTTTGCAGATATATAACCTCTAATTAGATCACTTTTCTTTCTCCTTTTTTCTTTTGGGATGGGTGTATGTAGACCATGGGGAATTCATATGCTGGGCAACTGAAATCTGCTCGATTTGAGGAAGCTCTCCACAACTCCATAGAAGCCTCTCTCAGATGTAGTAGTGTGGTACCACGGCCAATTTTTTCCCAACTCTACTTGGACCCTGACCAGCATCCTTTTTCATCTGCAGGTAAGTTTCTCATTCACACACACTTCTAGACTGTTTTTAAAGGAGTGGGTCTAGGCCTGGCAGTACATGCCTATAATCTCAGTTACTTGGAAGGCTGAGGCAGGAGGGCCACAAGTTCAAGAACATCTTGGGGGCTGGGATTTAGCCCAGTGGTTTCGCTGCCTGCTGTTCAGGTACAAGGACCCGAGTTCAATCCCCAGTACCAAAAAACAAAAAAGAACATCTTGGGCAACTTGGTGAGACAGTGTCTCAAAAAATAAAAAGGGCGGGCTGGGGATGTAGTTCAGTGGCACAGTGCCTGCCTGGCAAGCGTGAGGTCCTGAGTTTGATCCCTTGTACCAAAATAATAATAATAATAAAATAATTAATTAAAAAATAAAAAGACGTAGGGGTAGAGCTCAGTGGTAGAGCCCCCATGGGTTCAATACCCAGTACCACCAAAACAAAAACAAACAAAAACTGGGGATTCCAAATCCTGGGAGCACTGAAATAAATTGGCTAAGTGTTAGAAAATGCTAGTCTCCTTTACCTCAAATATCTTTCAGAACTATGAATTTTTCTACTGATGATTTTTCCATAAGCATCTTTTTATTAAATTCGGTATCTACTCAGATGTCAAACCCAAGGTGGAGGATCTGGATAAAGATTTGGTACACCGCTACACACAAAATGGCAGCTTGGATTTTTCTAACAATCTAACAGTTAATGAAATGGAAGAAGATGATGATGAAGAAGAAATGTCCGATTCCAACAGCCCACCCATCCCCTATTCACAAAAGCCTGCCCCAGAAGGATCTTGCACTACAGATGGTAGGTTTTGGTTTGATTTTCTTTTTGCTATTTTCCCTCTAAAGTTTCTGGTCTGTTTCCAATCATTCTATTTGGTGTTCAAGGGTAGAAACCAGTAATTATGGAAAGGAATGAGGTGTGATTATGTCCTGACTCCCCTCATATTCTATGACTTCACAGCAGGTTTCCACAAGAAAGAAGTGTTACAGCCCCATCTTACAGATAGAAAGACTGAGATTCTCAGCTGAATGACTCCTCTGAGAGGGTCTTTGCGAAGCCGAATCCAGACATAGGTCAAGGTTTCTCCGGTACTCCAAGTGCTGTGGGCGAGAATGCTGCTGTCTTAGGAACTTCTTTAGCCTTCCTTCTTCCTCTTCCATTCTACTCTACCTTGGGAATAGTAATAGAGATATCAGATATCTTATGTTTACCTATTACATTTACTTTTTCTTTTTTTTTTTTTTTTTTGAGGACACCTTCCACATTTTATTTACATTTTAAGACTAATCTCAAAATCACATATCCATACACCTATTTCCTTTTGTTGACTTCACCTAAACTTAAATGCATGGTTTATTTAACAAAGACTGTAAACAAATATTTACTGTGTCTGTTACATGTAACACCCAGGAACAGCTTTTGACAGAAATTCATCAACCCCCTCAACATTTTTTAATTATAAATACAGGTATGAAAACAACCTTGAACATATTTTTGATACTACTAGTAGTCAGCACCCACACTACTTCAAAAATTAACACAATTTGTGACAATATTCATTGTACCTGATACTTTGAACAATTTCAAACTGTAGCTCTTTTACTAAGCAAGATGGACAAGCATGCCATTTCTGTTTTTCCTTCTTGAGATTTTACTTTTCAGAAACACGCGTTTCCACTAACATCTGACAATTCTGCCCATGCTTTCATCTTGTAAACCTGAATTCTATTTGGAGTACTCCAGGTTCATGTTTAAATGACAGTGCCTTAATAAGAGAAAGAAAAATTGTGCCACATTTTTCCTCCTGTTACCTGGAAACATAATGGGTGTACATATATTAAATATATTCTTACAAATGTCCAGGTCATGTTTGCCAGCTGGAATTCTTTTACTTACTGTGTGGGTATTTTGCATTGTGATATTTAATCAAGACATTAATATGAGTAGAAGGTTGTTGATTTAAGACAAGTTTGAGAGCCACTAAACCTAATTGTTGTATGTTTGTCCTTCTGGTGGTTGTGGAAGCTTCATATTTTCTTTGGACATCATTAGACATCTTAGCTCTTGAAGTACAACTTTAATTCTACCTGAATTCTGCCATTTTGCTAACACTGGTATGCTGCATGCATCCACCAAGCATGCAGGAGGCTCTGGGTTCCCTTTTATATTTACTTTGAACACTCATCAGTGTAGACACAAAGAAATGTAATTCTTTTGTAAATGTAAACATTTATCTATAGAGGATAAAAATGTAAACAGCTGGAAATCTCATTTTATTTATTTGTGTCAACCATTTCTTCCACCAAGGTTTTAACCACATTTTTAATAAGAAAAGCTTTGTCCCTAACATTTTCAGTATTTCATGGTTCTGGTTCTATCACAACTTAAATTCCTCTTTCTTCCCTTCATTTTGTTGCTATTTTCTGACCATGAAACTAATTAGTATGTGGGTTTCACTTTATCCACATTATCCAGAGTGTAATTTTTATACACAGACTGATGGACTGGGGAAGTTGTAAATGCATGAAAATTTTGATTAGGAAAGAAGGGGGACAGAGACTTGAGAGAAGTCTTCTTCCAAAGCTTGAAATGTGAACACAGACACTCCTCGTTTAACGACCAAGTTAGGGTTCTGGAATTGTACAGAGCAGGTACATTACAATATTCAGAGCAAAGTATGGTCAGAGGAAACTTCAACGTGATGACTTTGCTTTTACTTGCGTAACTCTTATATGCAGAACTGTAATGTATAACAGCACATGAAACTGTACAATCAGCAAAAGTTACAGTACAGTAAACAAGGGGTGCTGTACAACACACACACACACACACACACACACACACACACACACCCACACACACCCCCCCCGCCGCAAAAAAAAAGTCATAAGTCCGAGTGGCAGGCTGTAAATCTAAACAGCATCTTGGTCGAAAGTCTGAACAGGTGTTAAATAGGCAGGTTGTTAAATGAGGAATATCTGCATTAGACATCATATTTTCAGTATACTTCAATGAAAATGATTTCTTTTTCTTTTTCTTTTTCTTCTGGTACCGGAGATCGAATTCCGGTCCTTGCGCTTGCGCAGCAGGCGGTGAAACCACTGAGCTAAATCCCCGGCCCTTGTTTTTCTTAAGAACACGTACGCTCCAATAACCTTTAAAATAAAGTACAGTAGCCATCAACAAATCATCACATCAGCTGGGTTCAGGCAATATTGATCCCTCACATGTCAGAAAAGGCAGGGATGAAAATCACTCAGAAAATCCAGGATATCTTATGAGACAGCAATGACATGCAAAGTGCTCATCAGTAATCAACAGATGCAATCCAGATACGATCCTTAGCAGATCAATAAAGTGTCTATTCCTGTATTCCTCACATGCTCTTTCCAGGTATCTGAGTAGCTTCTATGAACTCTCCAAGGTTACACTGACCACACAGCTGATATTGCTGGGAGCTGTGTTTTGAATGTGCCATTTTGGCTCTTTAATGAAGGAGCTTCTGCAGGTCACTGTGAGGGACCAGTGAAACTAAAATATTTCTAATACGGTATCACTGAGCCACGAACCTGCCGGACTCTGTGAAAATCATGGGAAATGCCAAATATCCTTGTCAGCGAAACTGGCATTGATGGAGCCAGCGCTCTGTCCCCCCCCCGCAGTAAATACTTCGGAGGACAGAAAGACATATAAAGCATGTAGTGAAGGAGCTGGCTAGCCAGGAGTGTGAGACAAAAATTAAACCCGTAAAACAGCCACAGGGCCAAGAGTAACAGTGACAATTAATTCCTCAGTTGTGTCCTGTGGTTTGGAAGAGTATGTATCACCCTTGAGAAACGTGTGCGCCCACATGAGACATTTCCACGTATCGAGAAGTTTCAAAGGTAGCATCACTTCGAAAGAGTTTGTTAATATCTGAGAATTTATTTAACTCCATACGAAGTAGTTTTATCATCACCGGAGGAACTGCTGGAAGCAAACAGTCCTCAGAAGTGAGCCAGTAAGAAGATCGCACTGGTGAACCTTGCTGGCCCTTTGGCACAGCTGTTCTGCCTGTGCTGTAGGTGATCAGCAGGTCTCAAAAGACTGTGCTCCAGATCACTCGCTTCTGCTTCGAAACAGGCAAACCACATGTTTTTTGGATACTGAGGCATAAAAAGCAACCTCATATCCAAAAATTATCGAGTAGCTTATTTTCCCCAGTATCAGACACTACAGAAATAATACATATTTTGAAGACATTTGCCCTTTCATGAATGCTGCGTTCATTTGCACAACAAGCTTAGTGACTGTGCCTAAAGTACAACAGGCTGCTGGCATCCTTCCTTTAAGGACCAAGTTAAGTTTCCATGGATGACTTGGTCATAAAGTGAATTGGTCTCTGAATGAGGAACTGTGTATAGTATGTACACAACAGTATTCAGAACAAAGAAATGGTCAAAGGAAACTCCAATTTAATGTATTTGCATAACTCTTACAGTACTGTAATGCATAACAGAACACAAAGCTACAATACAATTGTACTGCACTGTACTGCATAGTACAATCAGCAAAAGTTGCAGTACTGCATAAACAATGTGTACTGTGCAAGAAAAAGACATTGAGGCTGTATAAAAAAGATGTATAGAACTGTACGAAAACAAGACACCATAAGTCTGAGTGGCAGGTCATAAGTCCGAACAGCACATAAGTTAGAACAGTTGTTAACCAGATAGGTCGTTAAATGAGGAATATCTGTAATTTGAAGATTTGAATACTTAACGCCAGATAAATAATTGGCATTGTTTAGGAGTTTCATTTTCTCTTGATCCCCCCACCCCCCCGAAAAAAAAAAAACCTCTCCCTGAGATTCTAATAACCAGTAAGGGGGTCTAAATCTTCTACCTAGAGCATTATGAGACCTGACTAAGGGCCAGGGATGTAGTTCAGTGGTGCTGTGCCTGCCTGGCAAGCGCAAGGTCCTGAGTTTGATCCCTGATTCTGAAAAAAAAAAAAAAAAAAAACCAGAGACCTGACTAATATTCCTAAAAACTTTCTATCTCTGCTTTACTACAAGTGCTCTCCTGCAATGGACACTACTGCTGTCTGGGTTGGGCCTGGCTCCAGCATATGCTTTCTGACTTTACCTGTACTTATGGTTGGTTCTTTTTGCCCAGATGTAATATATATCGATTTATTCATTATTAATGTAATACAAGGACTTAAACCTGTAAAGGTATGGGAAGAGACAAGCATTGTGTTTCTGCTTACTTGCTTTATATACACTGTTATAATGTTTTTTGGTCACAATTTTGTTTTTTTGTTTTTTTGTTTGTTTTGGGTTTTTTTGGTACCAGGGATCGAACTCAGGACCTTGCACTTGCTGGACAGGGGCGGTGCCACTGAGCTACATCCCCGATCCAGTCACAATTTTTTTTATTCCTTAAGCTTATTGGTACTTTTTAGGTGTACATTATGACCGTATTCATCATTGGGAATTTGTACCTGTACATGATGCATCTTGGTTCTTGTTTTTTCCCATTATTTAACTGCAGTTGCCAAGTAACAAAATAGAAGTTGAAATAAAGTTTAAAGTATTTTTAGAGTCTCGTTAAAAATCTTGTTATATGTGAGAATTAAATAGAACCAGAGTAAAAGCCTTAGAATAGAGAAGTTTGAAGTAATCAAATTTTACACCAAAAAATGGAGACGTCTGTCTCTCTGCAACTTAAGTCTGTTTTTTAGTTTGCCCATTGAAGTAGTCGGGTCTGGTATTATTTATTACCAGGTATGGAAAGCTACTTAGTACTCACCAAGGTATA